AACAACAAAAAAACAACCCACCAAATGGGATTTACACATTGCCAGTGTTTTTACAGTCCAGGAAAAGCTTAATTAAAGGGGTGGTACATGTCTCTGCTGAATAGCTGTTTTTCCTTCATACCTTCCCATGCACAACACGCACACATCCAAGAAAAGAGGCTGGGGGTGGGGGTGGTGCAAGAAAACCTCCCAAAAACCACTGCCCAAATTACCAGCCTTAAACCGCTCAGTACAATCTTGTAGGATTGCATGGCCACTTAAATAAATATGTGTCCCTAACAGAAAATCAGAACCTGCTCGTAACAACTCAAAAGTAGAAGAAAAGTACAGAATATTATCTGCCTCTTCCCCTGTGTTATTCAAGTGATGGTTTAATGTATCTAGTTTACCATGCAATTACTAAGTAATCCTTAATTCCTAAATAAGCAAGAACAGGAGTAATGATAGCAATCCCAAAAGTCAACCAAATAAACTTTATTATATAATCAACTGGATGATTCTCTGATTTATTTTAAATCCTACTTATTAGATTAAAAATGTTTATAAAGATAAAATCATTTTAGCATTGCTGATCTTAACAATCTTATGTTCACTTACTCTCATAGGATTTCATAGTCCATCCACCTGTTGTAACTCAGGCACTGTAAGCAAAACATAGCTTAGCACAAAAATTAATACAGTTAGGTGTCAGTAAGAATATAATTCATCAGGTAAGAATAACTCTGGTGGTGCTTGGGGGTGGAATGATGCAGCATTCAACAAACTCTGAAGATGACCTATTGTAAGTATCAGGGAAGGACAAATGAGGTGATGAACATTTTATTTACATGGGACAAAAATACTTGAACAGAAAAAAAAACAAACAAACAAACTATTTTGTGAGTGATACAGCTTCAGCTGGCATTTTTATAGGGTTCCAGATATTTTTTTTTTGTTACACATCTCTGTATGACTACCTAGTTAACCTAGACAGTGGATCTTCCTTTTTCCTTTATTTTTTTTCTTTTTCTTTTGTGCACTACAGACGGTTCCTGCGCAGAGATGGCTGCATTTCAGTGTGAAATTAACTACCCAGTCAGGAATTGAACATAATCATCATATGGGCAAATCAAAATGATGGCTACAATTGCTGCCTACAGAAATTTTTGCTGCAGTGCATATTAACGCACCAAAAATGTTGTGTTAGCTAATAGTGAATGTGCTGATTTTCATTACCCATGGAAATGCGTAACATCTTATGTTAAATTTCATTGACATTTTTCATCAAGTGTGCAGAGCAATGCTCTGAAATGTGATAATTGTAGAATCTTGTTGTACAACTTTGAGTAAAATATTCGTTCCTCTAATTCCAGCAGTAATTAACTTGGATTGGAATTCCCCTGACTCATGTAACAGTCTTCAACATTATATTAATGGATCCTAGTGTTTATATAGTTTGAATAGAAATTCTGTCCCATAAACGTAATATTTTATTAAGGCACTAAAGATTTTCGGGTTAAAGAAAAGCATTGATTGAATCACCCTAGCCTGAGCTGTAAAGGATTTTTCTGGCTTAGGTTTAAAATGAAACATTATCTTGTTGAAACTTAAAACGCTTCAAAATGAAGTTCTGGAAAATTGTTGCATCTCTCATGAAGACTAAAAATTAAAGTAGACAATTATCATAATAATAACCCAGTTGTACATGGCAGACAAAAGAGAAGCTAATACTTCTTTCTCTTTTTTGACTGATGTTTTGTTGGGCTGCAGCTAAACAGCACTTTAAGTTGACAGTAAATTAGCAAACAATATGAGGGAGGAAAAAAGAAAGAAAATCATGCAGGGGTTAAGATGTTTATGTAAAACAGTGATTTTCCTTTTTAAAATTAAAACGTACAAATAAGCTGGTGTCAGAGACTAGGTGATCCTTCATTTCCACCGCATTGAGCAGGCTCACATCAGCAGCAGACAGCCGTTAATATATGCGTCTGGCTCAGTCTGGTCTACCAACTAGGAATTCATCGAATTGTTAATATCATTCCTTTTTTGTATGCACCACACATCATTTTCACTCTCTCTCTCTCTCTCCCCCCCTCACGCTCTCTCCCCTTTGCAAGAGCTTGTGTTTTGGTTTTTTGTTTTTGTTGTAGCACAAGCTGATTACTCTGAAATCACATATTAAGTAGCATTTAGAAGTATTTTGTACTGGAAGAGCAAAAAGTCATATAGAAATGGGAGTATATTGAAATTCTGCACATACAGCTTTACGTAGTCTACCAGTGATATTTCCATTTATTTACACTAATAGATACAGCTTTCATACACTGATGAAGTGTAAATAAGACTGCTTTTTGTGAGGTGTCTGCAGGCACTGCCACATAGTCCCGGGCAGGGGAAATGCTGTGGTGATCATGGTGGCAATTCTGCCCGATCAAAGGCTGGATTTCTTCCTCCCTTCCATCCGCTTTTGCCCCACCACAAGGAGTTTAATGTACACTACAGGTTGGTTTTGCTGCGTTGAAACTGGGGAAAAAGAGGGAGGAGGTAAAAAGGAAGGCAGTACACCAACTTCTTCATCTCTATGACAAGGGGCAGCAGCGAGTACTATGGGCAGAGAGGAGGCACCAGAGCTATCCCAATTCAAGCAGTGATGCAGAGGCAGTACTGTGTATTCACAGCTTTTGCTGTAGCTCCAAATAAGACAGGTAGGAGTTTCTCATGGTTCATTTCATTTTCACTCTCACTGCAGAGAAAAAAATACTTGAAATCTTCACACTGATAGAGATGGACATTTCATACTATAGTTTCACATGCATTATACACAGAATGTTAAACCAAAATGAGTACCGAATATGAACTATGAACATTCAAGTATATTTTGCTGACTCAAAAATAAATGCAATCCACAGTCTTTCATACGTACAGACGTGCGCACCGTATATCTGATTAAATATATTAGGATTTTTATTTTGATAAATTATATGCATAATTTAAACTGTTTACCAACATGCCTATACCTACCCACATTATAGTTTTATCTCATTATGTAGCTTGAATGATCAGAGTGCATTCACCTGAGCAGTGCCTTAAATATACCCTTTTCAGGACTGAAAACTATGAGTATTATACATAATACATGTCAGCTGCTACCAAACTGCTTCCTTGGCGTAGCACCTAGGTGAGTGAATTAGTTTTTCACATACAAATTCAGATCAACTTCTCTAATATCATCTGAATAGAAGTCAGTGGTGTTCAATAACACATATGTGTAAAAAGAAATTACCTCCATGACTGAATGTTTGCAAGTAGCTCTTTTGAGTGCTCTGAGTATGTGCGATTGACAGTTTATGATGAAAAGAATTGCATCTTTACAGGAACTGTATCATCATTATCATTGGTAAGACAATATTTTTATGACTATTTAAGCACTAATTATACCTTGAGCAACTTGAAAGCTATGTACAGCGCATAGTTTCTGTCTCTTAATAAAACAAGACAACAAGAAGAAGTATTACACTAACAGATAAGAACAATTTATTTTAACAAAAGTATTGACGCTTACAGTAAAACACAATTCCTCCCACACAAGTGGAAAAAAAACACTGCAGCCAAAATACCACTTCTGAAATGAACAAATAGTTTGGATGCCTGATCTGTATGAAGCCTTTGTCTCAGTGAAGTCTGATATATCAACAAGGTCCTGCAGCATCTTGGTTTAGACACAGGAAACAGAGAAAAATGAATTAGAACTAACCCACCTACAAAATGTTAAGAAATACAAATCTAACTAAGCATGAGAGATCAGAAGTTTAAGAGCAATGAATGGTGCAGAACAACTCATGCCCCTGTAAATCTTCCTATGCAAAGTCAGTGAAGTACTTAGCATATTGGGGACAACCTAAAACGCAGTATGTTGTTGGCAGTAGGAGGAAAAATGCAAAAGGCTTTGAGTTGAGGCTGAGTTCGATTCTCAGGGTACTGCCAGCTCCATATAAATTTAACAGGTACACAGAATGTGATTCTGTGAGTGAAGTGATATTAATGCTGTAGTATGATTTTTACACTAATGTTCTCTATCAGATTAAAATTTAAACTGAGACAATATTTTTAAATGTGATATCATGTCCTCACTTAGACAAAGAAAAATAATGGCAACTAACTATGAAACTGTCTTTGTCCCCTATTAAAGGAAAAGCTAAGCAACAGTTTTCTTGTAGACTGAAAGCATTACTCGAAAATCAAAAGAATGAATGCTTTCTAGGCCTCAAACATCAGCATTTGTGCATTATGTTTTAAAATTTAATTAAATGCTTTAGCAATACAGCTGAAAATACACTTTGTGGTAATTATCTACCAGAAACGTCTGTAATGATAATGTTATATTATGGTTGAAAACCTTTGGTATATTTTAGTACCTGGTGGGTTGGTGGTTTTTTTTTTCTTTGTTTTTTATTTTTGTGTTACAATTCTTTTGGTTCTTTTTTGAGGTATGAACTGGCATTCAGTTTAAATTTTAATACTAAATGTTACATGGCATCTAGTCCAGTTTCCTAAACACAAACAGGTAGCACACTAAAGCTGCACGAAGAATAACAGCTTTTTTTCTTTTAGGAAAGAAAGTCTGCTGCTTAACATTTGGTATATTTTCCAATATATTAAGAAAGGTGTATTTTCCTTTTTCCCTTCCAGACAGGGAAAGCTCCTTTGGCTCTCTAAATTCTGCAGAGAAACAATCATAGTCCAAAGCTGCTGGTTCCCCTCCGCCTAGGTCCCAAGAGCCTGACTTGTGATTGTTGCTACAAAACCTCACAAGTTAGGGTCTCAGGGACTAGGAAAAGTCTGATATGATCCAGTAGAATTCGTCTTCCAATAATCTGAATTGCTTAGTAGTCATAATTGCTGTCAGTAAAACTTTCACTGCTATTGCAAAAAAAAATGAAACAACAAACAAAAACAACACACAACAACACCAAACCAAAACCAAAACAAAAAGCAACCACCCCCCCGCCCCCCCACCCCAATCAGCAACCCCTCCTCCCACCCAAATAAACACAAGGCACTTTCACGTAGGGGGCAGAAAAGATCAAATAAGCAGGCAAGACACATACATACATTCAAGACAATGTATCAGCTGACTGAACAGACTTTTCTTACAGTCCTTAACTTTTGAAAGCAAAAAGAAAGAGCACAGCAAAAATCTTCACTGCCTTGACTCACAAGTAGCCATATTACAATGCATCGGAAGGAAGCGTCTAAAAATGGGTTAAAACCTGCTTCTTCCAGCAGATTCATACAGTAACGATTTGATTCTATTTCCTTTAATGCCTTAAAGAAGGATTAAATGCATGTGAAGGGGTTTCTAATTGCAATATTTCCCCTTTATACTTTCAGTCCTCCTGTTCAGGTGGGCCCTAGGTTACAGAGTACTTTAGAGCCCTTCTCGATGCAAGGATAACCTCTGGGCGTGTATTCACTTTTTGCCTCTTCCCCACGTTCAACATTTAATCCTTCTACAGACTGCTAGCAAAAGCTTCTTCCTTTCAATGGCAAAGCGAGCTTTCGCTCCATAAACTGTAGAAAACACTGACATGCGGAGATTGTTGTCACTTGCACCAGATTACTCAAAGAACACACAACTTTCAAATACTGTCGATACAGTGAGAAGAAATAATCGGATTTCCCAAACAATTTCTTTCTGAAGCCGAACACTTTTAATGGCACGACCACGATCCCAAATTACTTTCGTATTCATTCTCCTCCGATCTTTAGCCTTGTTTGCAGAAGGAAAAAGAAAATTTCTACTTTAGGGACGGGATCCACGGTGGCTTTTTTTTTTTTTTTTTTTTTTTCTTCCATCAGAGCCCAGAGCAAAAGAAACAGCAGCCATAAAGGTCCTAGCCACTGGAGCAGAATCTGGTATAGAAAACTCAGTGCTCTTCGGGAAGCCGTTCAGCTTTAAAAAGGAAAAAAGAGAAGAAGGGGGGGAAGAATTAGAATCTCTGCTGGTCGAACAGGTGAATCATCCATTTACAAGAAAGCTGCACAGAGAGCGCTGCTGAAGAAAAGATTTGCCAGTGCCCCCCACCCCCACCCTGCCCTTCACTCTCCCCTCCAGAAGGCTACCTCAGATTTCAGAACATTTTGGCTTATTTAAAATATTTCAGTAGATGACAGAATGCAATATTACATAAGAGCCGTTCCTTTGTCACTGTGCAGCGTTCAATCAGTTATGCCTCAGACACAAAATAGTTAAACGAAACAAGATATATATATATATATATGAGAGATATATATGTATAGCAGTCCCTGCATTTCATTCCATTTCTTTCTTTCTTGCAAGCTGATCATGATTTAACAAACAATTTTGACCGCAGCTTTCAAATCAATAATTAGAATGAAAAATCTCTCCCCTCTATAAATATGACATTAACATAATTATACCACCCCCATCGCATAGACCCATCCTCTTTAGGGAATTCATCTGATGCTCTGAAGATGGAAATCAGTCAGATTTTAGTTGCTCTCAAACGTACCTTTGCTTCTCACTGACTGACTGGCTTTACCTCCCGTGCACACACACACACGGTCACCAACACTCGCACACACACACATCCACATGCGCGCGCACATGCACACACACACACGCACGCACAAAAAGGCAAGGCAAAGCGGCGGATGCTGACTCAGAGCAGTTGTGTGTGGAGGGGGTGGTATCGGCTGGTATTTTCACTGCACTCATCATTAACATTAACTCACTCTCTAGCATCCACCCTCTCTCAGACCTGCTGGACTGCAGCATTTGCATGACGCTGTCACTCTAGCCCTTGTGGGTCAGATGTTAGAAGAAAAAAAAAGCCTCAAGGCTCTCATAAGGAATGCCTTCATTTCTTCCAAAGGGTCCCTCTTCTTATTTTTCCACCTTTCTACTTCCTCTGTTGCTGTGTCTCAGTTGTTTGACATCTTTCCGGAAGAAAATGTCTTGAGCTGCAATAAGCCAGTAGTCGGTCGGTCCTCCCCTCACCTCACACTCCTATTCCCACCCCCTTTTTTTCCTAATCAATAAGACGGATCTCCAAATGCAGTTGTGAAAACAGGCTCTGACACACAGACTTTCATCCTCAATCCTCTGCCTCAGGAATAGCAGGCAACCCAGCTCACACGTGATGCAGGGAGAAATAATGCCAGTAATTCTTGAACAGACTTAGTTTATTCTACGCCTTCTTCATTTTTTCCTTTGCTTGAATAAATACTGGTGGGAAGGGCACAACAGCTCTCGGCAGCTATAAGGATTCTTTTCTTCACAGAGCCATGATCATTAAAAAGACTAATATTAATCTTCCTTAAAATTAATGCTATCTCCCCTCCTCATTGTGCTCTTTATAAGTAGGAATTGTCTCATAGCCAAAACACTGCCAGGGTCTGAATCACCATTCACTGTGCTGAAATTGTACGTTCCCAGACTCTGGTTGGTATTTAACTGGACTAAGCAATTCTTTTTTTTTTTTTTTTTTTTTTTTAATTTATTTTTATTTCAGACTTTTTAATTAAAAATGATAATAATAGTAATGAGAAAGAAGTAGAAGCTGCATGTGTCCGAGCGAGCACTCTGAGAGAACAATGGCACTGCATACACACAGTACGGTACCAAATACTGAAAATGCGTGATTGAGCCACACTCATGTATTTATCTGCATGCCATTTGCCGTGTTGGCAGAGCGGTCTGTGCGTACTCGCGTGCATCAAACACATCCACAGACACAAACTCAAGAGGTATATATAAAGCGTCCAACCCGAAACAAAGCACGGAGGCTGCAAACTGCCACACAGGCACAGGTTGTATGACAGGCTGTGAGAATCCACAGAGCACGCTTACTGCGTACATTTCCACCTTGTTCCTTTGTTCTTAAGACAAAGTACTACAATGACTTACGGCACTGACAATCTTTCCGCTTTTCCTGATTTATGCCACCGGTATTTGTGAATTATTTTCCAGACCTCACCACAGCCCTGTGACTCGCAGTACAGAGGCTATGCACCAGAGGGGGGCAGGTGATGGCCCCACTCCAGCCAATTCCCTGGGCTGGCCCAGGCAGGCGGCGCCAGGCTGCTGGCAGCCCGCAGCCCCGCCATGGTGGCCCTCTGGCAGCCAGCACCAAGGGCATCCACCCACTACTCGGGGTCTGCAAGAAGCAACGTGCCATCCCAGGGCAAGTCACCACACCGGGTGCCCGCCTTGAACCCGGTTTGTACATGATTATGAGCAGTCATCGTAGTGGTAATTAATGTCTCCAAGAAAGGACAGAAAAAAGTAGACAATTAGGAAACAGTTAAGTTTGTGATCTGAGGGAAAGGCAAAGACGGAGACAAACACACACCCACAGGCAGACACAGAGAGCGAGAAGAGAGCGCCAAGCATGAGACAAGAAAAGCGAGACTGAAATCAGATTTGGGAAACTGAAAAAATACAGGATTACAGCATTCAGCTTAGCATTTACTGAGGTATATAAAAAAAAAAATTAACACATGCACAGCATGGCTTAAAATACTTATTGCCATCAATAGTCTGTGACGGATGCCGGCTTCTTACAGCTATACGTACATTAGATTGGTCATCGCCTCTTAATCTCCTTTTGCTCAGACCCATCCATTTTTTGCTGCTCCAGCATCTGTGCCCTTTATGCTTTTTTTCTGTATAGTTACCCACAATACACTGGATAAATTAATGTCATGACCCCGCTATGGCTATCAGACAGAAAAAAAGTCTACTATTTTAATAATTGAACGTGCGCGTACAGCAAACTGCCTACTGATAGCCCAGCTCTGTGGACTGCCTCCAACAGCAGCCTTTGCTAGCTCTGCGAATCAGAAACAACAGATGCAAATACAAGACACATTGCCCTGGTTCTCTGTCTTGGTTTTTGTTTTTTTTTTTCTTTTGAAAACAAATCCATCTCTTCTATCTGAGCCATCTCGTTTTCCTAGCCTCCGCCCCTTCAGTGGTTAAGAACATTACACTGCCGAAATTAGAAGCATTTGAATAAAAGCATAAAGATGAGTGAAAATCATAAATGGCTGTAGATTCTGGAAATTTATATCCACACTGTGAGTAGGGAAGAGTACCCAGGTTCAAGTGCTGAGCCTCACTTGGGAGCACCTCTGGGACCGATGGGACTGCAGACTAGATTAAATCAATAGTCGTCTGAAACGAGATGTCGTAATCAATCAGCTCAATTACCACTGTCATAGAACTGGGCTTAAGGTCTTTCCTGATTCTACTCTTCTAATCATTAACCCTTTTACATCCTCAAAATGGGAGCTCATACTCGCTCTGCTGCCCTACCTTTTAGATCATCCAAGTTTAACTTAGCCTTTTTCTCTATTTTCTCTTTCCCTATTTAAAAGACATAAGAACTGGTCAGCAGATAATGTTTTGAGTGTGAATATGGCAAGGTGAGATGAACTCCTTTAAATGTACTTATTATATATTTGCTGTGTGTGCGCTTATATATTATTATCATGCCTCCGGGAGTGGCTGGGTGGATCAAAGACTGCTGTTTAATTAACATTCAACTCAGCTGTTTCCTTGGAGATTACAAATAGAAGACTAGTTGAATTAATCTGAAGCTGTTCACTCTTTCCACTAATCCAATGCCACACAGCTCTCCTTGCCCTCAACCTAGTTAGGAACAACTTGCTCCTTGTTAATCAAACACTAGGAAAATCCATTTCCAGCTGAGGGTAAGTGTGAAAAAAGTTGTAAAGACATGTTCATATGTATGGCTGAATTTCATGGAATTGTCCAGTCATTCACTTTGTGTATTCACAACACAGTAAATCCACACACAACACATGGGGAAAAGAGCCATCAGCTTTGAATATGAGCAGTGCCACTTTAAAAACCTGCATGTAAATATTGCTGTCCGAAGATTGCATTTCATTGATTTAAGATCTTTTATTCCTGAGTAAGTCCTGAAAAGATCAAAAAGCTGTTCATAAAAATGCTGTAGCAATTGTCACATATCCCTCTTTCTATTTTTAGGGGGGAAGAAGAAATCCCAGTGTTGCTAGATAGGTGGCAAGTATGCAGAATTTTGGACTCGGATTTATTCTCTGATAGACTCAAATGCTAATAGTCAAAGAAAGCCCATTACATTTACATTTCCACCTCTGCTGTATTCACTGCCTTGGACTCCAAGCACAACCATACCTTTTTTAACCATGGAGCTGCCTTTCAGCTGGAGGGAGTGAGTTCACAGCTTCAGCCCACGCAGTGCTGTGAGTGCCAGATAGCAGAACTTGCCCCTGTGCCATGGCAATGGTATACTGGGGAAGGATTTTTGCTCCTGGAAGTGCTAGGAGTGAGTATGAGACAGAGACAGCACATAGGTGTTTCCCCACAGAGGCTGAGCCAGGGGATGTGTCTGGGGAATGGTACCTGCCAAAGCAGGGCTGCGTGCCACCCGCACTGCACTGGGGCTGCCCCAGCTGAGCCAGGATGGGCTATTACCAGAGATTGATTACTGTGTTTCACCATCCAGCTGTTGTCATTAGTGGGAATATAAAATATTGGTCTCCAAAATGATTCAGCTGTGAGCATCAGAGCTCTTTACCAGGCTTATACCTCAGCCAGGAACTGCTTTGTTGGAGGAACTGACCCCTCACAGATGGAAAAAAATGACCTCAACTTCACATCGTTTCTGGGAAAGGTTTAGTTGACATGATGAGATACAAAAGAACCTTAATACTATCCTTTAGTAATGCAAAATGAATGTGATGCACCAGACGGCACATCGAGCTGCTAGCTGAAGGGTGCTGCTCTGTTTTGCAGGCAGCAGTTCAGACTTTAAGCATCATCCACCAGGGGACAGCATTCACATCCACACTGTAAGAACGAGGCTTGTGTACTCGGAGAAATGAAGCAGAGCAGCAGAAAAAGAAAAGAAGATATAAAGTAGTATTTCCTGGATTGTTACTTGTGGACAGACAAGGAGGAGTGGTGAGGCTGGATGCGGATGTCAGGGGCAAAAACCCACCCAAACACAGGATGAGCCTTTTGTTTCTTAAACAGCAAGAATAAGGTGATTTGCAGGATTAACATAAACTTTGTGCGAATGATAAGGATTCTCAGTAATAACAAAAAATAATCTTAAAGGAATGGGATAACAAGAACTAAGCAGAATCACTGTGTGTCCTAGATGAAGGCAAAAATTCAGTAGCATTTTGCAGTTCACATCTTCCTATTTTCTGTGTGCTCCAAAGGGAGGATAACACCCCCATCCCTCTTCTGCCAGAAGAAAAAGTTTCTTCATCACAGTGCACATGAAACAGATACCCATTTGAAAATCATTTTAGCTTCCTTAACTGTAGCATTTAAGGTAGGAGGCAGTTAGAGTGACCAGCAGCTACGCATATGCTGTATCTGATTGTCCCTGACACCTCCTTCACCTAAATGTAAGAACATCAAAGGGATAAAGACTTCAGAAATATCCCACATCCATCTCGTCTCTGATCCATCACAGAACTCTACCTCTTCATTTCTTATTTGCAAACATCACATTCAGATTCTCCTTATTTTTTAGTAACAGTGCTTGGCTGAAATTCCCGCCTGCTCAAGCAGTATTAAAAGTACTGATATTCTGCACTATTCCTCAAAGGAAGTCACTAAAAGAAAAGAAAGAGCTTGATATTAAGATGAAGTAACAACTGTTCATATAACTGGTTTTGAACAAACACGTCTGCATTTTCAGTCTGGTCCTGAGCAGTATTTTAAAACTCTAACTTCATAAATGTTCCAATATGGCATTTTCACTATTTCCTTAAAATATAGGTATATAAGTATATATCTAATTGACAAAAACTTAAGACTACATAGAACAGGTTCATCAAAATATGTTGTTTATTTCCTGAAGTTCCATATTTTTGTTGCAATCGACAGTGGGCCTGCTCCTGTAAATAGGGCAATTCAAGTAACTATTCAGATGGATATTCTCTCTGAAATTATTTGAACTATTTTCCTGAGCACCAATTCTTGTTTACATGCATGTTCAATAAGAATCAGAGTTTATAGAAGGAAATTATTCGATTAATTAAAGGTAAAAGTCTGTACTATAGACAGAAACCCTCCTATTTAAATTAACAGTGTGCTTTGAAGAGAAACATTTCTGACAAACATTCAGACAGCCTTGTTTTAAGAGATTTCAAAAGAAGACTGGGAAAAAGGGAACCTTTTTTAATGAGAAAATACTAAATAGCAGGCTTGATGCCTGCAAAACTGGAATATTTTAAATTTTCTAGACAGTGAAGGTTAAAGCTGTCCTGCATTCTCATAGTTCTCTCTCTCCTTTCAATCAATCTCATTGATTTTTTTTAAGGGTCAGAGGCTATACCTTCATTGATCAAAGAAACAGCCTGACACAGCGAAAGAGTCTGCCAATTCCAGACAGATCAATCACACCTTTGTCTGCTTTTGATACATTATGGTTATTTATTCTGCATCACCACGACTTTCTGTCGCATGGTTCTCAATGTAATAATGCTGCTTGGGGACAACAATAAAAAAAAGGGGGGGGGAATATTCTATGTAAAATATTTTAAGCCTCTCTCTGGTATTTCTGAGGGTGGCTTATGATGGAATTTGGCCAACTTGTCTGATTTCATTTTGACTTGGAAAAGAACTCCTGTTCTGGTATTTAGCTCTCCTTGGTCAGCGTTTTGTAGGATTTTATAAAGGCAATCCTTTGCAAATGTTTTGTGCAAAATGTTTTCAGAAAAGTAATGAGATCTCAACAGAACAACAATTAGGATCTAATCATATCCAGAATCGTGCATGTTTATACAGTCTTTTAGAGATGTTTTAATAAATAGAATGTAACTGATACCCAGCTACAGCTACTGACTGCTTTATGGCTGTAAAATGAAACTAAACGGTCAGCCTAAAATAATTGCTAGGAAATATTGCTGAATAAACAGATATAAGTGCTGAAAAGCTCCTGGCTTTGCAATCTATTATGCTGAAAGCCAGCTAAAGCTTTAAAAAATGCACTATATGCTCGCTGTCTGTCGTGACTGAAAGTTATATGCTACTATTTATCTTTCCATACCATCTGCATGCAGCCTTTAAAACTACTGTTGGTCCGGTATCAAACCTTTTATTCACATTTGGTATCCTCTCACTTCACAGGCAGTTGCGCTACTTAAGAGAAATCGCTTGTGGGTCTTGTGATATTTATTATAAGCAAAGGCATTTAAATCCAGTTGTAGAGGTGAAATTGTAGCATAAAAGAAGCTAATGGCAAAATGCCCAGTGACTTCGGTGGAGTTGGGACTCCACAGCGAGAACTGACATCTGAACTCCTTCAACTCAAGCTACCTTCAGTAAGAAAGGCAGCTCACCGAATCTCACAGGACAGTACCCTCAGAAAGAAAGTACAAAAAATTAACATGCTTCCTTGCAAAATCTCCAACAAAGCTGTGATGAGCTCTATGTACAATACAGCCCCAGCAAGATCAGTGGAACGGTTCGATAAAATTAAGCATGTAAATCTTTGCAGAATTGTATAATAAGATGCAATCATCATCTCGATGAAATTATTCACCTACATCATTAAAACCTTAGAATAAGACACACGGTAATCCAAACGGTTGGCATCAGTTTCTGATTTCACTGTGCCTACTCTGTAAATTATTGTGCTCCAGATTTACGGTTACATCAACATTATTATGTAAAGCAAAAGGTAAGCGGTATACTAAGTTGAAATATTAAACCTATTAAAAAGTTATGAGTTTAACAGCATCCCTACAAGTATTTGTATGCATGCCAAGAATTGCATTTAAAAACCTTTAACTAAAGGAAACTGACTTCCAGTGATAAACTGCAATGCCTAAGAGACATCACTGAAATGCTACCGCTACTCTCAAAGGCAAGGAGACCTTAAAAACGGTTGCTGGCTCACAGTGTTGCACAAAAACATGCAGTTTCTTCTACAAAGAAATAAAGCTGAATGCGCAACATTTCGGAGAAGTTTTGAATAAGTCTATTTGTCCAGCTTACTTCGCAAAGGCTCTGCAGAAAACAGCACCATAAACACTTTCAGTCCCCACACAAGGGCTAAACAAAGAGTCCTCTTTCTAGCCATTTAATCCAGTAATTTATTTTTTCAACCATCACATAAATCGAAACACAGCTGTAACCAATGACTTGCAGATCCAGTTCCCTGCCAGCTGGATCCTGTTCTGCTGAAGCAGCAAGATTTTTACATTGTTCACTTCTGTACATCTGGAGAAATCATTTGGGTTCAAAGGTGACTAGAAAAGCTCTTTAAATAAACTCAACCAACAGTGAAGAGAGGCCTATGTATCTACAAAAGCTACATAGAGTTCCATTTAAAAACTTCTTTGTTTTTCAAATTAGTGCAAAGAACAGTTTGGTTTTTAAACATTTTATGATTATGACATTTTAATTGAATTATACACTCAAATACGTATTTACTGTTTCCCGAGAACTTTCAAACAGTGTCAATACTCAAAAGTGATCACAGTTATAGCATTTAAGAAAGCAGACAGAAAAACAGTGATGGAATGAAATAAAATGTCAAAATATACCTCAATTCATGCATCTTAACTGTTGCTTAAAACACCACTCCACTTTAAATTCACAGAGCAAACAATAAGAAAGTATATACTGTGCTGAGACATGCTGAACCTCAGAAGTTAATCCTTAAAATAGCCTTATTTCAAAAAGTCTGCATCATCCCTTTCTGAATGAGTCTGCTAAGTAACAAAAATGTCCCTGACATTTAAAACTGCACACAGTAAATTGATTACAATGCATCATTTCCTTTGGAAAAACAATCACAAGGCAAACCAGCTGAATGTTGCAGAGGTAAATAACAATGAATATTAAAGGCTTATATAATCTGTATCTTTGATTGCTTTTCAGACAAAGAACGGATGGAACGGGCATTCAGATGAGTTTACAAAGGACAGGTTTCATGTCTAGCACAGGCCACGTTAACAAAGTACTTCAACAATGCTGAAAGTTCCTATGCTGTTTTATTTGCAAATTCATAACCATGAACTCTCAATTACAAAACATATCAAGAAGCATCACTGAACATCTAATTCCACTCAAACAGGTGAGCAGGACACATTCAGAAAGTGCCCCAACTGCTTCCCCAAAGACACAGTTCCTTTCCCACGTATTATTAAGAAGTATCCCGTAATTCAGTCAGGGTTCACTGCCGCAATGGCTTCTTTTCTTTTTGATACTTACAGTTAGAGTTGGTTTGAAACATTGCTGGTAAAAATATCCTTTCTAGTTGCCACTCTGGCCACATCTCTGCCTGGGTTTCATGCTGGTCCCCACCTCCTCCTCGCAGATGAAATGAGTAGCTACCTCACCTTCAGCTCTTGCTACTTGTTGTCTGCTCTTGTCTGTGCTTCCCCCCTCATAATTACAGGAATGCACTGTTACATATGCTATCTGTGTTCTGTTGTGAAAGCATTAAAAAAGAAAAAAAGAAGAAAGATGGAAAATATGCCTTTAATAGCCAAATAAATCAGATAAATCATCTGCAAAAACTAACACGTAAAAATCATAACCAGGTAATTGCTACATCACTCCAGGGCAAACTTTAAGGAATTTATATGTACATTTCTATATACTAATATATATAGATTTATGTAAACATTCTAGAATGAAAAGCATTTAGTCTGCATTTAATTACAGTGTTTCTAGAAAGCTCTCTCTTCAGTGTCTGATGTTTATTTATTCTTAAATATGGTTTAGCTTTTGCCTAACAATAAAAATATCACAGAAAGGAGTTAAACCTGACAGAACATAAGTTGCAACTGACCAGTGGCTAAGCTTCTGCAATGTTTCCCGTTTTCAGCTTTGCCAAAATCAACCGCGCAATTAAACAGTACAAAATTTATTTACCATCCATTTACCACAGTTCTTTTGTTTCGCCATCAGCTGTCCTTTCTAGTTTAGATTCTTTACTGGTAAGGTTATTTGCCTCCATTTTTACTGAACAGATCAGGATTTATTATACTAATCAGACATCACCTATGACCCCAGCTGTAACACTATCTGCATGCTCAGGATTTCAGGTAAATTAGATCAGGGTGACTTTGAGTCACAGTCTCAAACAGACCCTGCACAGAGGCATTACCTGTTTTAGTAAGGTGACTTCAGTTGTTTAGAGAACCTCGCATAAATCTTTCGCATCACAGTTGGCAATACAGAAGATATCCTGATTTATCCAGGAATTATACTCCTATTGCAGATCCTGAGGCAAAAACCTCACTGGTTTTTATGCATTTGGTCGAAAACCTAAGTCCTGTTGAACAAAGCTCCCCATTGGCAATCTAACAAGAAATCTGCTAGAAGGACTGAAACAGAGATTCTTAAATCTGACATGCAAATTTCTGAATGTGCTCAGCCAGATCTTCCAATTACCCGTATTTTTGTTTGGCAAATTTATGGTTGCCTCTACCTGAGGGCTTGGGTAATTATGCTTATCATCCATAAGGTGTTTAATTATGCCAGTTTACATTACCCAAAGTCTTTTTTGTAAACTGTACCACCGAATGCTCTGCGGTGGGGATGAGCAACTTTCTACAGCTAAGTTGCCAGTCCTCACATACCTTTCCCGCATTTAAGATAGATCTTGTCAATAGAAACTGAACAGGGAGCCAGAAGCTCCTGCCATTTAAAGATGAATGATGTTGCCAATCATGTTTTTGGCAGACTCCTGCCCCTATGCAAGGCAGCAGGGCATTTAATCTGCAGCATACACTGGGGCACGTGCCAGAAGAAGAGGTCCTTTCTGATATTCCACCTGGCCTCAGTCGTTCGCTCCTCTACCTTGCTTGTACTGACATTTGCATCTTACAGCTGCATCATAAAGCAGACTAAGAATCTGATCCAAAAAGTAAGCCAGGAGAAATAAAAGATCAGATTGCAGCAGGATCAGTCCCTGATCTAGCTCATTAAACAGGTACACAAACTAAGAGCCAACTCAGAAGCCTGGTAAAAATGCATGCCACTGGCAAAAGGATGGAATTCTCCATTAGGTGCCAACCTGAACTTTGGCAAGATATAAGTGGCCCTATACCTGTTTGGAGCCAGGCAATGTGTGAGACTCTCAAAGTCACCTCTTTAGGACATTGAGAGTCCCCATCTTCAGCCTATGCACTAATCTTACTATATAGCCAGGCACCCATATAGAACCACACAGTATGGAATTAAAAAAAAAAACTATCAAAAGCAAAGATGTAAGACTGTATTGCAGACAGACAAAATAGAAGATACACCTAGAAGTGAAAAGACTAGACCCTCCTGGAAGAATCATGTAGAAAGTGTTCAAAGCGGTCAGAACAGTAAATAAGATATTAGCAACAGTCTGCTAATACATCAAGCCTACAAATAAATGTGATATAAGCAATTAACAGTCATTATACAAAACACAAAGAAGGAACTCAGAGATTACAATACATCTGAAATGAAAATTATGGTAGAGTTAAGGATAGTTGCAATGGTGGAATTAAAACTGAAATTACATCTCTGTCTTTCAGACACTATGAAAAAGTTCATTTTAACTTTGTGAAAATGCCTGCTATGTACTGTATATATATAATTACTTCTACAGTTCTCTCCTTGCATGTATCTCATTCCACTTATCCAATTTAGAACTGTGTTCTTAGTAAATTATTTACAAAGGTAAAATAGACTGGCTTAGGATTTTCATAATGTCCATTATAGCCATAAGTCATTCAGAGAGAATCAATAAATTGTGTGTTATTTCCATGTAGCATATAGCATTTTGCTTTTTTTTTTTTTTAATTTGGTAACATGCCTATCACTGATGTGCACTTTTCATTGGATTTTGATGTATGAGCACACACCACAAGGCAAACATATGCCTTTTCCTTCACAAATAAAGTGCCATCAGACGCTGCATCCATGTTTGTAAATCATTTTGTAGATGATGTGTTCTCACACGTGCAATCTGAGAGCAACAACATAAGACGAAACATATAATTGTGAAACATATCACATCTATTACTTATGAAAAAAAAAAAAAAAGGTGGAGCAGCACGATCCACAGCTAGGTCTATGTTGTGTGCTGAATTCCTAAGCAGAACATCACATCATTATATCTAAGCTTCACAGCCCAGAAAAGGACCATGTCTTTCTAGGGATTGTAGTATCTACAAGATCATCAGAAACCTATGTGATGCACACATGTGATAGTCTCTGCCTTGGAACCCACCAGCTGGCTGAAAGATACCAACAATGTATGCAATGAGACAGTTTAAAAAATTATTGCACATATTAAAAGAAAAGACTGCTAAACAAATCTTTTCAAGTCCACCCTAAATTTACATTTAAAATAGCCCCCAAAGCATACCTTATTTTTTCTAATGTAAGTTTGACACAAAGTATTATCTTAAAGCAAATTACTTGTACATCCTGGAAGGTACATAACTTTCAGCATTGACCAAGGAGATACAGGTATCCAAGCATAAAGGAATCTCTGATTGTAAGATTGCAATGATATCTTGAAAGGCACACTTTCCTCTAAATTATCAGAGAGACTTGAAGAAAGTAGAAGCCACAGTTTCCACTCTAACTACTACTAGAAATCCTGCTGTATGAGCCTTGAATTTGGATTTCCTGGGTCCAACATTGCAGCTTAGAATAGCACCCAAGGAAACCAAGTAAATCCTTCTTAATATTTCCGTGTTCTCCATGAAGAAGGGAAAGCTGCAGTGCATTTAAAAATATATACTTTTGCGCCAGTAGATTAGATGCCTGCAATAGGTAAAATGAAAACTTTTAGTCCTTTATTTAATATTTTAAAAAAAAGGACATAATAGGTTTCGTGCACAGCCCTCCTTGATCAGCTTCTACAATCCTGCCTACATGTGGGTGCCAGTGTAAGAGTATGGACAAGACAAGCACAGATGATCTCAGTAAGAAAAAAATACGCAGTGTCTGTGAGGAAAGACAATCACTTTGGGTAAGGAAGCTTTGGATAAGGGAGCTACCAGGTGGGAAAAATGAAATAGTACAAAGTTGTAACAACCTATTTTAAAGAACTGATGGAAGATGGATGGAGGGTAGAGGAGGTAATAAGATAACAGCATAATGCATTGTTGTTATTCTATACTCAATAAAGCTTTCCTGTTTCTCAACTCCTCTCTGTTTTCCATGGATATTATTACAGTGTTTTCAAATGTACTTTGCAATTGTTTCATAAAGGTCAAATTCCACACTATGTACGTAGTTCTCTCCAAAAGTGATGCCTCCTATTTATTTGGAAACTACAACAGCAACAAAAAACACAATAACACTATTTGATAGAGCAAATTCTCAACTACAAAACACTCTTTTTCAACACGCTCACCACCATTAGCAATGCATTTTTGCCAGCAATGAACAAGAGCCTGCATGCTGCTCTTGAAACAATCTGTCCCAGTGGAGGTGACCCTCTGTTGCTGTCACCACAGTTGAAACGCACCACCCATTGTCTCACTGTGCTCACATCCACTGTTTGGTCTTCAGAAATGTTCAGCAAGCATCAACGAATGTCGATGGGTGCATTTTTTTTCTATATAAAGAAATTCAGTGGTATATCTTTGCTCCATAGCACTTCCATGTCAGAAACCATTTTGTCAGACTACCCCTCTGCTGCCATCTGTCACACAGCAACAAAATATAATGGAATATTGATGGGAAGGTTCAACCTCTACTGCCAAACCACCAACATCTGCTTCTGACATCATGGGCCAACATAATAAAAAGGAGGCATTACTTTCAGAGAACACTTCATACAGTATCAGTAGCATTAGCCACAGTGTGAAATTTTTAACCTTACTTCTTTGCTGCAAGGAATCTGATATTATCTATACATGAGCTACCTCATACAGTCAGCCCCTGAAGCTTGCGGGGCAAGGAACCCCCAACCCCAGAACTCTGCAAAGAGAGAAAAGTAAAACAAATTTCCTGATGCTGAAATCAGGTATTTGAAATACATTTGGGGAGCCACTCCTGCAGGTGATTCTGATAAAACATAATTAAAACTGATTGTGTCCTACATGGTATAAAATGCATAAATGACTATGGCTTTATAAAACCATTATTCAGCAAATGTGAGATTCTGTTTTTTTTGTCTTGTTTTGTTATTGCTTCTACTTAGACAGAAGCATACTTCTGTATGGGTATAGACACTCTAAGTGTAATTATTTGAAAAATAAATGATGAACCTTTCTTGTGGACCTCAGATGAAAAAATTCAAGCCTTCCTAGGTTGCAAACAAGTTCTGATCCTCTGAACTGAGAAAGTCCTCAGACCTTACAAAGTGGTTCAATACAATGCAGAAGTGACAGACTGATTTGCTAAATAAATCTACCTCCAAGAGAAGTGTCACATGACCTTTTTCCATACAAAAGGAGTACATCAAGCCTTGATTATATTCAAATT